TTAGGGGTCTAAGTAGTTGGTTGTACTCGGATCACTACAATCATCAGGCCAACTCCCAGGTTGGAACTTAAAAGATAGAAGTCACCAGAAGGAGTGATTAATTATGTACGAAACTCCTATTTGCTGTCCCAGGTGGCAGTGGCCACTGGCGAAGCCAGGGCTAGTGTTGATTGCGGCAAGCCAGACCGGAGAGATCTTGGGACAGTGGTGACAGCTGCTTCAGTAGGATTGCTGAGCAGGTTCAAGTGTTCTGTTATTGGTGTCTTTCCATTGCCCGAGGGGATGTCGCCTGCAGAGATCTTTGCTGCATTGGCCGAGGGGTGGGATATTCAAGTGGCCCTTAGGAGGCGTGCTTATGCGGACGCGCGTGTACGCTTGGGTGTGTGTGCGTTAATAAATAAACTGTGGTCAATTGTGGGGGCCGTCAGAAAACCGAAGGAAAGGGGACGCTCGCGCAGCTGTCACCGGTTAGCCAGTAGCAGCTGCGAGGTGAAGCCTCGTTCATGCTGGATGTAGCCAATAAACCCTTTGATGATCTTCCGAACAAAGACAAGATAGTCAAATGTATACAAGACATGCGTTTGTCGGCAAAAACTGTTCATGTGCGTAACATCATGATGGCAACCCACGTGGAAGAAACACAAATGAAAGCCGTAAATGCAGTGCCGTTATTTTCCCTAGCTTTGGATGAGCCAACAGACGTAAGCCATTTGGCGCAGTTCAATGTGATTGTAAGATATGCTGCTGGTGGTACACTGCACGAAGAAAGTCTTGCGGTCCTGCCAATAAAAGGGTCCATAAGACGTGAGGATTTATTCAAGTCTTTCGTGGAGTTCGCTCAAGAAAAAAAACTACCTATGGATAAACTTATCTTAGTGTGTACTGATGGTGCTCCGTGTATGGCGGGGAAAAACAAATTGATTTGTGGTACTTTTTTTTGAACATGAAAAAAGACCAATCCTACGTTTTCATTGCATTCTACACCAGGAGGCTCTTTGCGCTTAGATATTTGACGGGCAGTTTGACGAAGTGATGTCGCTGGTCATTCGTGTGATCAACTTTATTGTTGTCCGCGCCTCAAATGATCTACGGTTTAAAACACTGCAAGATGAAGTTGGAAATAATTAACATGGTCTGATTTTGCGCAGCAATGTACGTTGGTTGTCAAAAGAGAAGGTGCTCAGCCGTTTTGCAGCTTGTCTGAACGAAATCCAGACTTTCCTTGAAATGAAGGGCATTGAGCATCGTGAACTAGCTGAACCCGAGGGGCTCCTTATGTTTTACTTTCTCGTGGATATGACCGAACATCTGAACCAACTCAACGGTAAATCGCAAGGGATTGGAAATACAGTGTCATCCCTTCAACAATCCGTGTTTTCTTTTGAAAACAAGCTGGAACTCTTTATCATGGATCTTAAAACAGATCGTCTACATTTTGAAAAACTGAAACAACATAAAGATGCATGCACAAAAAGTGAATCCACTCAAAACTTTGATCTCCACCAGCTAGTTGGCTTCACATCCAGTCTCATACAGTCGTTCAAAGCATGCTTTGGAGAATTTCGAGAGCACACTCGTCTTTTTAAGTTCATCACCCATCCAGCCGAGTGTTTGCTGAACACAGCCGACCTAAGCTATATTCCTGGTGCCTCCGTTAGAGATTTTGAAGAAGAATTGGCTGACCTGAAGGCCTCAGACATGTGGCTGAATAAGTTCAAGTCATCAATGAAGATTTGGAAAGAATCGCACGACATCAAGTGGAGTTGGCAAGCAAGCACATGTGGACAGAAAATAAAAAAACTTCAACCCAAACACCAGCTGATTGTTACGATATTAGCCGGACCAAATGCTAGCAGCATTTGGAGGCTTTCCTGAGGCTTCGAGCCTAGCCAAGTGACTGTCCACGCTAGATGACCTTAACCTCCGGAGAGGACACAGATGCACGCGCTTGCACGCGCGTCACTGGTCGCATTTACCCCAATGCGCTAATCAGGCTACAAGCGAACGCGCACTTGACAATCCCCTATAAGCCATTGTCCCTAGCAGACAGGGAGAGTTGCATCACATGCGGACTGCGAGGACAACCACCAGTCCGCTCCCATGGCCGGGCTTGCCCCGAGGCGGGGACGTCAGCATGCTGGATACCAACCAGCGGCAACTGCTACCCGAGAAAGAAACTCCGGGTTTTGTACACAATAAACATTCCTCCGGGTGGATTCCAAAAGTTACGCCCTTCCAATTGTGTTCTTCTTGGGGGATTCCAAAGGGCGTAATTCGACGGTGACACACGTCAGTTGTCACCGTTATAACACTGATAATCAAAACTTGGAACAGGCTTCCCGTCACATACTACACACTT